AACTTCTCCATTGTTATCTTAAGTGAAGTGTCGACTTGGCAAATTCATTTGGGTCATTTTTCTTTTTTTTTTTTTTCCTTTTTGCTTGGCACTTTTCCTTTTTTAAGTTTTTAAATATGTATTTTAATATTTTAACTATATTTGAAAATATGAATTTGTATTTGATTTGTTAACAAATTCTATAAATAAAATAAAGATATTATCCCCAAATTAATTAATAAATTATTATAAATCATTGTTTTTATTAAGAAATTATAAAAAATATATGTTCATTGATTTATTAAATTTATTTAACTATAAATAAAAAAAAAATTTAGATCTACAAGAAAGTGTGGGTATGCTAGTATAAAAATGACGGAGTTGTAGAAATATATAGTTCAATGGCAATAATATATTATTTCTTTATGTATATCAATGCTAAAATCATTATTAATTCTTTTTAATATTTGAATAATAAGGAATTGTTGATCGTCAAAACTTTACTTTTATTTGCAGGTTGTGTTCCAGGCTTAGAGCGGTTGTCTATAGGCTTCATGGAAGAAAAAAGGCTATGGCATGAGCAACGTTCAGTAACTTCTTTTGGTGTTCAAAATTTAACAAATTGGAAGTGCGAATGCAATAATTTGAAGCATATATTTACTTCCTCTATGGTTGAAAGCTTTGTGCAACTAAAAACACTTAATGTTGGAGATGTAATGAACTTGAAGAGATAATAATAGTGACGGAAGGATAGTAGAAAAGAAGAAAGAAGAAAATGGTGTTTCCTAAATTAGACTGCTTGACGCTGGTGATCTTTAAGCTCAAAAGATTTGGCTTTGGAAATCCGATTGAATTCCCTTCTCTAACAATCTGTATATAGAAGGATGTCCTATTTTGAATACAGTCCATTTTGATTCTACAAGTGTGGAAACAACTATTGAAAATGAAGCAGGAGAGAGCAGCATCTCAACGGAACCTCCACTCGGATATCTCAAAATACCTATTCAGTGAAAAGGTATTTTTTTAATGTCCCCTCCATGCTCCAATATAAACTTAAAATTTGTTTCAAAATAAACTCATTTCAAATTGATAGGTAAAACTATATGTTTAATAGAAATAGCATCTAATTATTAATTACATCATTGGAGTTTAAGAATTTATTTTTGATTTCAATAATCTAATAGAGGGTAAACTACTTATATTGCTAATTGCTAATGAGATTTTTAGCTCCTAAACCTAAAAAGTGATATTAAATGCATCTTTTTTTTTACTCTTCTTATGCTATTTTTTTTCAAATCTTTTTTAAAATAAAATTACTTAATTACTCTTTTTCATAAGTTTCTGATATTTATATCCAACAAGTTATACAATTTTTCAAACATTTATTTTCAAAAATTTATAAAAAAATATAATTAAATAATTTTACTTAAGAACATTTTAAAAAATAGGTAAAATGAAAAATAAGGGTGTATTTAACACCCCTCAATCCTAAATCTTAAATAATCTTTGGATCAAAATTTTAAAAAATAGATTGACGTGTTTTGAAAAAAATAAAATAAAAAAAGCATTTAATGGCAACATAATAAATATTAAAAAGAAAAGTATGTAAACATTAATATATTGTAAGAATAAAATACAATAATTTGTTTATCAAGATAGAAATATAATTTTATAGTATAACTTTGGATTGATCTATAATTTAACTAGAGAGGTATCTTTAAACTTCAATAATCAGATTTTTTTTTATTTTAAATGTATACTTTACTAGTTTTTCAGTAAAAGTTATATGCATTAAAAATTCTTTGAATTCTAAATTTTTGTAAAAGTTAATGTGTATCAAAAGTTAGAAAACGATTGTACCTATTTTTTTTTAACAAAAAAATACCCCGTTAATAATAATAACAAACTCAATCAGGGCTGGGGGGTTACTATGTAAGTTATAGCATGATTCAATAATAAAATTTAGAAAAGAATCACTAGTTATATTAAAGATATAACTTTTTAAATTTCTCTTTTTATCCACCATATTACAATCGTTCATTTTGATCCCTTTCAACAACTCATCCTCCGTCCTGTTAACACTTGCATGAATTGTGCAGTTGCATTCCCAAATCTACAACAACTTCACCCTCGGATGGGATGATGGGATGAAAGAGAGATTGCATGGCCTACGACTTGCATCGGACTACTTTTGCAAACTAAAATTCTCGGACTTGTGACGGTTTCCTCAACAATTAGCCATATTCCCATCTTACCTGTTCCAATTACTATCCTTACCCAATCTCGAAAGCCTTCAAATAAAAGATTGTTACTTTGAAGAGTTGTTATTCCAAAGTGAAGGAGTTGGTGGTGAGGAAGGATTCCAAAATCTAAGGATTTTACATGTGGAATGGTGTCCCAAATTAAAAATAATTTAGTTCCATCCTCAGTATGTTTCCAGGAATCTGATGACTCTTGAAGTTCAATTTTGTGATGGGATCATAAAATTAGTTACACATTCAACAGCCAAAAAGCCTAGTGGCAGCTCAGAGAAATGAGGATAAGGGATTGTGAAAAGATAGAAGAATAATAGAAGGTAGCGGATGGGGATCGTGATGAAGTGAAGGATGAAATCATTTCCCCAAACTCAACCTTTTGGAACTGAGTGGGCTGTCAAATCTAGAAAGCTTCTGCTCATCGGGGAATCAACCTTTGGGTTCCCATCCTTAGCAACAGTAATTGTACACGAATGCCCAAAGATGAAGATGTTCTCCAGGGAAGGGTTTAAACGCTCCGATGTTGCACAAAGTACGACCATATGACTGGGCAGCATGAAGGAATTGGATTGGGAAGGAAGCCTTAATAGCACCATACAAAAACTGTTCACGGAAAGGTATGTTTTTTCAAATTTCTTTGATTATCATTGACAAAGAAAATTTGTGGTTGGGGGCGTTGATCACGACTCCATTGTAAATCAAAATTAATTCATTTTTTCCCCCTCATGACCAATTAATATTAATTGTTGTGGTGGATTATTATATATATGTAGAATCCCGCGGAGGAAATGCAGTATTCTATAGAAGATCAAGGGAATCCTTCAAACTTCTAACACACAAGGTAAGCCAAATTTCATTCTATAAATCTTCAGATACCATTCATAATAATATAGCTTTTGTTTCTTTCAACTCAAATGCTTTACTTTCCTCATCAATTAAGTAGGAGTTTTGATGCCTCCTTCCTAGTTTATATTTCTCTTATCATTATAATATTATGTAATTTTTAAACAGTTTTTCCTTTTATTTTCATCAGGATTTCTATTTTAATTTACTCTTTTAGGATATTCTAGAGCAACTGAAATAGATTCATTGGATTTTCTTTTTTAAAATACTTCTGCTTTCAGTAATAATATTCTTTATGGTTAGAGAATGTTTAAATTTATAATAAAATAAAATAAAAGAGGGATATGGTGATGATCTTCAATGGCAAGCGTGCAAAGGTAGAAATGGTTGAAAATGTGTATTTGAGACATATGACTCTTGTTTCTTCATTCGAAATCAGAATGGCTTTGTTATCATTCATTATGACACTGATTCTTCAAAGAGTAACAAAAGTAATTTTCCAGTAATTTTCTTTTCACCTCACTAATATTTGTTCATTATGATTTCATAATCCAGTTCAACATAGTCGAGAATTCTGAAGAAGATCAGCTCAATCCTTCAACTGCCAAGAAACAGAGTAAGCCAAAAAGTCTTCCATGGCATCTTGAGACAGTATAGTTATGTAGTACTCATCTAATGCAAATGATTTTTCTTCCTTGAATAAGTTAAGTCTTCATTTGAAGGTGTTTTCTTCATCTCAAGTGCAGAAGTGCAAGGTTCTAATTCCTATTTCCTTCACGGCCAGCATTTATGTGCCATGGCAGAGTGAAGTAAACAATGTATGTATTTTGAGACATCATTATTGATACTTCATCGTTTGAAATCAAATGGTTATAAGATTTCTTTATTATAATACAAGGGTTCTTTAAAATGAAATAATGGTACTCTTTTTTTTCGTTCTTTTTTTGTCAATTATCATATTGCTAAAGGGCAGTGCTGCCAAGCTATTCTGTCTCTAAAGACAAGTTTAATCATGCTGCATTTGATCAACCTGTAAATGGTTGCAGCTTCTTTCTTTAGTCTTTTATGTTTCTATGGTGACTAATTATAGCTTGCCATTTATTTGAACAACCTTGGAAGAAATAACATATGTACTACTTTTCTATTTTTAATGATCTGGGTGTTGAGAAGTTATGGATGACAACAGTTCTGAAGTCAGAGGATAAGGAGAAATATTATGAAGTTCAGGATCACATACTTATTTTGAAATTTCAAGGATTTGCGACTCCCCCTTTTTGGGAAGGTACAAACTATTTCACGTTGAAACTTGAAAGAAAGCTCAATTCATATTTATTCTGGAGGCTCAAATTGATGGTTTTTGTTTGGGCCGGCTGATGGTTTGTGTTTGTTTACAGGTGATTTTCTGCTGCTGCATTGAACCAATGGCAAATTCTTGAGTCCGTTGGGTGCCCCAAGGTGTGCTGTGCCTACAACATTTTGTGAATGGGCAATTTATCCATCCTGATATAACCTGTTCCATTCTACTCGACCCTTGTGCTGAGTTCCATGCTACCTTAGTGGCACTGTTCAGAGGCATGATTTGATGGCTCATGGTGAACATGGTTAGTCGTTTTCTTTGGCCTTGGGCAATTTTTGTGCTTATATATTAATTATCAATTGATTTTTCCACCCAGATCTGTGATTGACAATTTTTATCATCAATGTGAATTGTAAATAGAGCATTCAATGTCAAGGAGGCAGATGGTACAGGAAAATTGGGCAGAACGAATACCCCTCCTAGTTTTCTCATACGATGAGGGCTAATGCCAATTAATCCTACTGATTGAATGGAAGAATGGGAAAGAATCCAATCGCCATTGAAGGTTTACAAAGTATTTGCCTCATGTCAAGTGAAGAAGCTGGTCCTTTTCAAACTTTAGCAAAGGCTTACTAGTTTTATTTCATTAATTGAAAACATATACAAGTCAAAACACTTGCAGAAAGCCCAATGACTGACAACTCATTGGGATGGAGCAGTTATTTCTGATTTTCATTTAGGACATTTTCTATCAGCATTGACATAAACAGAACAACCTATAGCAAGTATCTTGGTCCTCTGAATACACTATAAGCCAAGAGTTTCCAGGTATAAGAAACAGAGGATCGTTGTTCAAGTACAATGGTTTTTATCTACAATAGGTATCAATTTTAAAGTTGGATTTTTTAGTTCTTTGCGTGAAAGAGTCTTGGCTTCAAATCTTATAAGAAGTGCCTTATATTCGTTTAAACACTGGTAAGTAGCTATGAGAATTTAAGTTAATTTCTTCTATTTGCAATGAAATGGGGAAAAGTAAAACCATTGTTGATTAACTTAAAATAAACATTATTTGATGATTATATTAGAAAATTTTTACAAATCATCAAGGTAAAGCTAATAGATCAAATAAATTAATTAATAACTTAATTGAGAGATAAGATCCAAAATTTAACTCTTATCTTTAATTCTCTTTTATATTATTGTTTGTATTGAAATTCTAATTAAATTAAACAGCAAATTAAAAATTGAAATAACTTCTAATTTTTATTGTTAGCATAATCTACCACTTTAATCCACAAGCATTAATATAATTAGTAAGGAGAAAAGGTTTTTTTTTTTCTTTGTTAATTAGAATTTGAACCCTATAAAAAAGAAACCTTTAAGAGTAAAACTCTGAATGTATCCATTCAATTTTTTTTTTTTTTTGTAAATCAGAATTTGATATTTATGAAAAATATTTTAAAAGTAAAACACTGAATACAACTTATTGTATTAGAGAAAATCTCTTGAGAGAAGAAATTAGCATTAAATAAAGCTCGATAATATATCTAATAGTAAATCTTGAAAATATTTTGAGATCATATTATAAAAAACACTTTAAATTATATGATATTGAATTTTAAGTAGCCATAATGACATAACTAACAAATAAGTCAAATATGAAGACAATTACTTTTTATTCCTAAGTAGACACAATATTAGATAATAAATTTACCATGTTTTATCTTTTTTCAAAAACTACATAATACTAAGAGAAGTTAATGTTTTGGCACATCATCTAAAATTTTCGAAGTAACCAAAATCCAAGTACTTGGAAAATCATCTTGCATTGTGTAATTAGTTAGAATTGGTGGTCAACTAAGTTAAATTTTTGTAAGTAAGATATTAATTTAAATCCTCTTCCAACAACAAGGGCTAATAAGTAATAATTGTTCATATTATTATGGCCAAAATAAGAAAAAATCTTTCAATATGTAAATATTTGTGAACTTATAATTGAGTTCAGTTGGTTGATATTAATAAGTTTGAGTTTAAATTTTAATACTCATAGCCATTTTAAGTTAGATTTATGCAATTATTTTTTTAGTAAATTTAAGATTCAAATTTCTATACTTTTAATCTTTTTCTTAATCTTTAAACTATGATTTCTTTAAATTTTTTTTTTGAACCCTTCAAAGAAAACAAAGATGAGAAATATTTTCATTTTCCATGTAAGTTAATGACCAAAACTTGAAATAAAAAAATTAAAAAAAAAAAAAAAACCTTGTCCAAGAATAAGGGTTTCAGCTTGACTACATGAATCCTTTTCCATGGTACTTGATTTATCTACTCCTTAATGTTACAATATTCTGTGTGATGTAATACATCAGAACTCCGCCATAATGATCTCTCGCATTAACTCTTTAGGTGCTGCAAAACAGAATAAAAAAATTGACCTCATTTAAACCATATTAAGAATTTTGAAAATATATGTTGCAACTAAAATTCTTGAGCTGTAGGAGGCAGTAGTTTTGAGGAAGAATAGTTGAGATTATCACCACAAAACTTGAACTTGATCATGAGGATGGTACATGGTAAAATTACAAATCAGAATTTTTGGAAGAGGTTCAAAATAGGATATCTCCAGCAATTTTAACTCAATGTATATATATATATTTTATAAAAATTTAGGATAAGAAGAAGCATTCTCATTTTAGGACCATAGAAGATCACAAGCTTCAGCATCGACTTATATTAATTTACAAATCATCTATCAAGGGAAATGCTAGCATCGGGACTCAAACCTAAGTCTTATAAACAAAGTATTCGAATCTTATCAACTCAATCAAAATAGCTTTTTCAGATCATAAACTTGATCCATTCGTCCAACTAATGAAATAAAGATGGATTCGCTACTCACTGGAAGTTTTATTATTCTTTTTCAATAGTCTCGTGACTAAAATCAAACAGCAAAAGATCAAAATGGTTGAACTATCAACTTACATTTGCAGTAAAGATCTAAGGATGGTTTAAAAGGTCTAAAGTTTCTAATTGATTTAATTAGAAAATAAGTGTCCAGAGTGGTTATGATGTAGTTTAAGGTCATGAAACAGATAGAGGGAAGGAAGGGATTCAAGAGATACCTTCTCGACCAGTGAAGAGATTGAACTGACCAATAGCTTGTCTGAGGAACATTTCAACTCCACTGACAATGATTGCTCCTGCTGCCTCTGCATCTTTTAATAGTCTTGTTTTCTTAGGTGTATAAACAGCATCAAAGACCAGCTCATAATCTCCCAAGGTTGCCTGGAATATGAAAGCAAATAACTTCAGTAATGAAACAAAATTGAACTTTATTCTTCAGAAAAGAAATACCACTTAGTGGTGGAAGGTGGAGACCTCAGCAACAGGAATGCGCTGATCAGTATTCGGATGCATTCCCAGGGGTGTTGCATTTGCAAGGATCGATCCTTTCTCTGGCTGGAAGTTAACTACTTCTTCATAAGGTCGAGCTTCACCCGAGACAGCACAAGCAAGGGACTTTGCTCTCCCTTTTTCCACAAGCAATGATAATAGTAAGAAAGCGTTTTGATTCTCTACTCATAATGTTTATTCCTAATGCTACAACAATGTACTAAAAAAGAGTAGGCAGAAGTTATAGTTGACAATCATATCAGCATAAAGGGAAAAACCATGGATTTGCCTTTTAAGAATTGTAGATCACATACCAAAATCAATGTCAAAAATGACTATTTGAGCTCCTCTGCTTTTAGCACCAAATGCCAATGCTCTTCCTGCACCTCCAGCACCAACTAGCGCAAAGAGTTTCCCCGATATTGGACTGCCTAAAGCTACTTCATTACCAGTGCATCTCTTTTCTATAGTAGTTTACTGTTTACAAGTACAAAAGTGTCAGGATATCAGCATCTAGAATGGACTAGTCATTGATCAATACTTTAAACTTCCATGAGGACATGATGAGCATTTTTTTTCTCATCAATGGGAGGTACCTTTTAGAGCATCCTCGATCGCAGTTATTGCAGCTTCGCAGTCAGTATTATAACCTATCAGCTTTCCATCACAAGGCCTCCTTACAATAGTATTAACAGCACCTATAGACTGACAGTGCATGAAAAAAAAAATCGATTGCATTCTCAAATATATAAATATAGGAAACTGCAAGCAGATGCTATTAATAGGGAATTGAAGCACTAAGAATTCTGGTAAGAATTCTGGATATAGGGAAAATTCTAGAATCGCCTCTATATGAACCAGGTAAATATATCCATATAGAACATGTCAACATACAATTGTTAGAGTGTAATCTTCTGCTACTTTTGGTTTCCCATCACAAAATGTGCCATGTCTGATGATGCAATGCCAACTAGCTCAGATAGTAAAATATGAATTTTACAACCAGGATCAGATAAACATTCTGCCTAAACTTAAATACAATTTTTTTTCCTTTTTCTCTGGCAATGAACTGATCAAACCAGTCTTATATGCTTTGGTATGCTTCTCTCAATAAGTTGAACTTCTAAATAATTAGATTCAGAACTTGGTCTTAGACCTTAGTGTAGCCAGAAATCGGTGCTCTGGTAAACTGTGCGTAAAGAAATGGAATAGGGCACAAAAACAAGGGACCTGAAAAAGTATATGGGAAATTACAGATTCAAACATGTTTGTAAGAATGTTATATAGTCAACCTCAGCAAGTGGATGAACTTCATCACAGAACTCAACTACAGCTTCCTTGTACGGAAACCCAACACTGCAATCCATTGGAATGAGGAAAAAGAAAAGTTACATTTCCGAGAATAGTGGAAAACAAACCCGGCTACATCATTGCAGGAGATGAAAATAAGGGTGAGAAATAAAGCAATTTATCAAAGAAAGAAGGCATTTATATTTCAGTATGTTGCAACTATCCATGATCTTCCAGTTTCGAAAATCAGTATTACTATATCAACTAAAGAACTAGTTGTAACATAAAATTTTCCTACATCCATACTTTTTTGGTACTAAATCTTTCAAGGCCAGTTCTGGGCTTAGTTGTTACTGGCTAAAATGTGTTTGAATGCCTAAAAGGTCAAAATACAAGTGTTGCTCATAAGAACAGATGCAGCTTACAGTGGCTATATACTTAAGTGAAAAGACTGTAACCTGACATAATCTACCAAAGACAAAATTGAAGGATGACGTACCTAAAACCAGGAAAGTCGTGACTGGAATAGATGTTAAAGAACTCCTTGAGATTATCTACAAACATTGGGACATAAACACCATTGAAGTTCTCGTGTCTGAATATAGGATTATGCAATAGAGGGCCTTTGCTGTGACCGACAGGTTTTGAAACAAGTCCAAAAACTTTAGTTTCTGAATTTAGATAGCCAAGTTTATAAGTGTGGATAACACTATATAAAGAAGGCATGCCAGGAATTGAATTTCCCTCAATAGATCCATAGGCTAGAAAGCCACCAAATTTAGGGCACAATAGCTGGCTTATGAGACCTCTTTCCCCTGCAGAGTATGCTATTATTGGCACCTGCAGATAAATAATATTTGATATGTTATTCCACTGCAACAATTTATAAAACTAATCTGCACATATTCAAAGCAAAGTCAATAGAGTTAGAGTTTCATACTTTGCAATGAGAAAGCAAATGAAAAATTCTTGCTATCTCAGTAATATCCGTTACATTTGCAGCCATCTTGATGATATCTGCTCCGGTAGCTCGAATGCTAGCAGCAAGATTGTTTAACTCTTCGTCTGAAGAGGTCATTGCATTTATGTGACATGACACAATAAATTTAGTAGCACTACCATCCTTCATTTTCTGTTCCCAAATAAGATCAGAAGCAACCTGGACAATCACATAAAACTAAGAGAAATTTCAAAGGAACAAATAGGTCATTCAAAGGGAAAACTGCCGATGGCACTTTTTGTTTTAACTGCTATCAGATAAATGAGAAACGAAAAAGGGTGAAAATATTATTTAAGTTTGTAAAATAGTCAATAATAGAAATGAAAGCACCAAAATGCAATAATCAAGAGTATAATAGTTTGCAAACAAAAGTACAACAATTTAAAAGCTACCTTGAGTTCAAAGTCAACATAATCAGCTCCCATTTCTGTAGCTAAATGAAGTGCTTCAAGCCGGGACTGCTCATCTCCTTCATACCGACCACCTTCGGATTTAGGCCTGAAGAAAAGACTGAATCTTAGAAATTAAATACAATGAAACTTCAAACCTTCCCAAACTTTCAAACCCAAGTTATATTTTTATCTTTTACTACAGTTTTAGAAGTTCATACAACATAGATTCCTGTCATCTCAGAAAGAATGGCAAAATTATTCTATCACTGCCACCTATTTTAATCTAATTGTCCTA